AGTTCTTATTTTGCATGTCTTGCTATCCAGTTATATTATTGTTGATTGTTGGATATAGCTGTTCTGTTTGCTCATTTCCCAGTCTTATTTACAATGCTTATGTTATGTTTTCTTTTTTTTTAACTGAACTTGCAGAGCCTTATTGTTGGAAAATATTCAGATTATTTAACTATATCACAATATTTAATAACCGCTGCCTTACAATGTGCTTGTGAAGACTTTTTGTACTTGCCTTAAAGTGTACGTAAAAGCAAAACAGTTTTTCATGATTTTGGATAGAGTGGTGAAGGGTCTAACCCTCTGACAAGTTTTTATTTCTGTCTCTCTCCTCACTGGAAAGAGTAACCTCTCTGTACTGGTGACCATTGTCACCAAGACAAAAAGTGAGTGGAAATCTTAAATTCTAGAGTTGTCATGGGAGCAAATGAGGAGGGGATATCTTCCAATGGGGACACATGTTCTGGTGACAGCTGTCTAAGGCAAGAATTCCTCTCACTTTGAGGAGACTTCATCTCACGTTCCGATATGTCTGGGAAGATTCACTTCCCTATATGTACTGGTGACCATTGTCACTGAGATAAATAATAAGTAGAAATTATACATTTTAGAGTTGTCATGGGAGCAAAGGGGTGAGAGGAAATATTCCAATGGGGACACATGTTCTAGTGACAGATGTCTAAGGCAGCTTTTCTCAACCTTTTCAACACAGATGAACCCCTGAAAAAATGTTCTGGTCTCAGGCAACCCCTGCTAAAAATGACTATATCTACAACTCATAATACATTGGTGTGAGGGTCAGTGGGAAGAATGCTCCTTACACTTGTGATTACTCTCTTACAGATAGCTAAAAAGATCAATGGTGTCAGTGGGAAGGCAAGAACACTGCCTTTGGGAAATGTTATCTTGGAGATCTAAGGAAAAGGAGTTATCAACATTAGATTGCAGACCAATTGGTAAACAAGTGGGAAATTATCCAATTCATAATGAACATTTCCAAAATAACGGAAATGCTCAATATTACTCTCTAGGGAACTTTATAACAGCTAAATTCTCGCTTGGTTGTCACAAATGTTCAAATCAACACCACTACCTGTGTATTGCAACCCATAGATTTTAATTTGGCAAAACACTCTTAGCTCCTACACTGGGATATGAAAGGGCAATTGTACTTTTTACTTTGAGATGCCTTATTAAAAGGTTTTCTTGGTTATAACCTAGCAACATGTTTAATGTTATATGCAGTAATAATTATTTTAATAACTTGATTACTGCAGGCATTATACAACTTAATTATTCTGAGTTACACATTCACTATTGCCATGAAGAGAGAAAGTGGTTTAACCTTTACAGTGTGCTACATTAATTAGAACTCTTATAAAATAATTCATGGTTAACTGCAGAACATATAGTCATATCGGCAGGTCTTATACTAGTGTAAAGCTCTGCACAACAATGCTAAAAGGAGTGAGAATTTCACATTTTACACATAATATACCGTATTTAGTATGTTTCATACCTTGTGCATTTTGCACCATAGGAACCTATTAATAAAAGGCTGAATTATTAATATGCCATTTTTTCATTTCAATTGATTTGCCTATTTATAACCTGTTCTATTCATTTTTGCCATTTTATTTAGAGTAAAATAGCTCAATATAGTACTATTGTTCTGTCTCTTCAGTCTAGGCACTGCAAGTGTGATCTCTATAACTGATCCAGTTGTGGCAAGATAGCTGCAACTTGCAGTCCCTGTAGAATTAGCAGGCAAAGACTCAATCTAAATGACATTTTGCAGATTTAATCCAAAATGTGTGCAGATTTTTACAGATGAACTTCAGATTGCTAAAAAAAAAAGATCATAGTATGTCTATCTCCAGCAGCTGCATGTGCTCAAAACAGAAACTAAAGACACGCTGAAAAGGTGTGTGTGTGTGTGGGAAAGGGGGTTGCTATTCTGAGCAACTCCTAGCTATGAAATGAGGAAGGGACAAATAATTTAAAGGCAGACAAACAACAATGTATAGGTAACATAATATTTCTTGTCCAGGAGAGGGCTGTGGTGGGTACTATTGCCAGCAGGTGAGGACCACAGAGGGTATGACAGCAGCCAATGTGTGCAGGAAAGAAGTACTGAGAGTATGAAATCATGCAGCATATGTAGGAATGGAGTGCAGAGTGTACTACAGTGGGCAATGTTTACAGGAGGGGGGCACTGGAGGGGATGACAGGGGCAGAATGTACAGAAGAGTGTGGAGGGTAGAAAAGCATAGAATATGTCCAGCTTGTGAAGGAGAGGAGTACAGCTGCAGTATGGGGTACAGTAACAGTAGAAGCAAAAGGGCAGTATGGAGGATATGGGTCTGAATATGTGCAGAGACTGGTAAAGTGATCAGTTTATTATAGAAGAATGTGAAGGATATGACAGAGTAGAGCATGTGTAAGCAAGCAATATGCATATGAAAGGAGTACTGAGGGATTTAACAAAGGGCAAGGTGTGTAGAGTGAATTCAATCACAGTTGGCAGTATGAACAGAATAGGAGTGTGAATAATATGAGAGTGGGCATTGCTCCCAGCACTATGTTTTGGGTATCTATATACAGAAACCTTTTAGTTATTACAGATTTTTATATAGAGGCAACAATTTATGCAGCTCTTTATATATATAGTGTACATTCACATCTCTCCCTGACCTCAAGGAGCTTCCAACAGAAGGTTCCTAACTTACATTCATACATACTAGGGCCAGTTTAGAGAGGAACCAATTAACTTACCATGTTGTCTTTGGAGTGTGGGAGGAAACCAGAGTACAATGAGGAAACCCATGCAGGTCAAAGGAGAACACGCAAGCTCTAGGAAGGTTGTGCAGTGGTTGGGATTAAACCGACTACCCTAGTTCTGCCAGTGCTAACCACTTGTCACTGTGCTGTAACTTTTTCTGCACATCTCAGTCCCACATAGCACCAAAGGGACATGACCTGCATGACATAATGATACTCTACAAAATGGTATTTCATCAGTACAGATCTTTTTCTGTCTTGTTTAAAGCCATTGTTTTCTCATAATATTCATCTTCACTTTGAATGAGGATAGAATGAACAACTGGATAATGGATTAAAATATAGGTTTTTATTGGGAATATTGTTTAACATGCTGAAAATACTTTTGGAGAACACACTGTATAAGGGAGGGATCACAGGGTGCTTTTTAACTTTATAATTTAGACATCAGCCTTTAGCATTGTTATAGTGCTAGTGAAGATCACACAGGTGGAGAGCACACATTTCATTTAAGGCTTGATTTGCTATACTAATGAAACGAAACACAGACAATTGAAGGTGAAAGATTTTATAAATAGACGTTGATTAGATCAGGGGCACTTAATTAAAATTCACGGAGGTTCGGTCAGTAACATTTTCTTTCTCTATAGGTCCGAATCTAATTTTTGTTTATCACAGCCTTTACATCACAGCCCCATTTACCTTAGTGTTTTCAGTCCTCTCTTTTACATCACAGACCCCTTCTTTCATATATGAGCCCCCCTCACATCACAGCTCCCCAACTTCATAGCCCCCACCCTTAACATCATGATCGCTCTTGCAATCACATCACCTTGAACCCTCATTTGCAATCACAGCCCCCCATCACTGCTCCCCTCTCTCACATCAAAGTCTGCCCATATCACAGCTCCCCCTCTCACATCACAGCCCCCCATATCAAAGCTTCCTGCCAAAGACAGTCCTTCCTTACAATCACAGCCCCCTACCCCCCCAACCCATTAAACCATAGTCTCCACTGCAGTTACATCTCTTCCCCCTTCACAGTCCTGCCTTAGAATGGCAGAGGAAGGGAGACACAACAGGGAACTCCTCTTCTGTATGCTCTGCCTGTTGTCTATGCTGCCACTTCCGTCACCTCCACTGCTGCTGTTAAACTCACAGCAGGTAAGAAGGAGAAAGTACAGAAGGCCTGCACTGAAGGTGTGAGCTGATCAACTCTTCTTGTTAACAAGCGAAAGGTTGGGCAGCTCCCGCTCCCCGTGTAGAACTGCCATATCACCCGCCGTTTTCCCTGCTGCGAGTTTATGAGCAGCAGAGGTGGCAGCAGCAGCGGCAGGCAGGCAAATACATATAAAGAAGAGGAATCCATCTCACCCTCTGCTGTGCTCTCAGTTTTAACAGCGGCAGTAGGAGAGGAATCCACTTATGTTGCTAAGTGGTGTGGCCATGGTCTGGACAGGACTGTCACTCGGTCCGTGTCCGGACCGCGGTTTGCTATTTTGTGATCTGGATTAGATTGATGTTGTGTTTATATTTGTAAATTTTTATTGTGTGCATGCAATTTTATATATATTTATTACCACTTTGATCTGTGTAACGCCAGGGCAAGAAATGAGTGGGACAGGGGGTCCCAGGGAGAGAACGTGAAGAAAAATCCTTCCAGTGAGGGCACAAACAGCAATTGCTTTCCCTACTCCCCCCCAAAAAAAAAACCTTTTGCTGAAGTTGAGCTTTAAAATATGCACAGTATTGTTTTCTATTAATCTAAAGAGCATGGAAGCATATTCTCTTTGTATATATATGACATGCTATTTATTTGTACATTTACTTAAAAAAAAACACTATATAATGTTATATATTATACAGAATATTGCTGAAGCAATTAATTCCACCTGTGGTTACCATTTCCAAGCATTTACATTCATATTGCTTACAATGTAATTAGATCAGCCTGTGGCTTGAGTAAAGCCTTTACTATGTAGTAAGGATTCCTTGTGGCATTAATATGTAAGATCTTTCCATTTATAATTTTCATGACATCTGAAATTTAGCCATTCACACCACGTAGAATACTGCGTGTATATGGGTTTTTGTGCATACTTAGGGCTGTCCTAAGCTTCTTGCATAGGACAGCCCACTAATTTTCACAGGATTAAATGTATCAGGATCTGGAAGTGATTGATATATATATATCTTTCTATAGATATATATATATATATATATATACATACACACTATATTGCCAATAGTATTGGGACACCCCTCCAACCCATTGGATTCAGGTGCTCCAATCATCTCCATGTCCAAAAGGTGTATAAAATCAAGCACCTAGGCATGCAGGGCTGCTTCTACAAACATTTATGAAAGAAGGGGTTGCTCTCAGGGGCTCAGTGAATTCAAGCATTGTACCATGATAGGTTGCCACCTGTGCAATAAGTTCATTCGTGAAATTTCCTTGCTACTAAATATTCCACGGTCAACTGTTAGTGGTATTATAACAAAATGGAAGCAACTGGGAACAACAGCAGCTCAGCCACGAAGTGGTAGGCCATGTAAAATGACAGAGCGGGGTCAGCACATGCTGAAGTTCGCAGAAGTACCCAACTGTCTGCAGAGTCAGTAGCTAAAGACCTCCAAACTTCATGTGGCCTTCAGATTTGCACAACAACAGTGCATAGTGAGCTTCATGGAATGGGTTTCCAAGGCTGAGCAGTTGCATCCAAACCTTACATCACCAAGCGCAATGCAAAGTGTCGGATGGAGTGGTGTAAAGCACGCCGCTACTGGACTCTAGAGCAGAGGAGATGTGTTCTCTTGAGTGACGAATCACGCTTCTCTGTCTGGCAATCCGATGGATGTGTCTGGGTTTGGCGGTTGCCAGGAGAACGGTACTTGCCTGACTGCATAGTGCCAAGTGTAAAGTTTGGTGGAGGGGGGATTATGGTGTGGGGTTGTTTTTCAGGGGTTGGGCTTGGCTCCTTAGTTCCAATGACTTAAGGCATCAGCATACCAAGATATTTTGGACAATTTCATGCTCCCAACTTTGTGGCAACAGTTTGGGGATGGTCCCTTCCTGTTCCAACATGACTGCACACCAGTGCACAAAGCAAGGTCCTTAAAGACATGGATGAGCGAGTTTGGGGTGGAGGAACTTGACTGGACTGCACAGAGTCCTGACCCAGACCTGATAGAACACCTTTGGGATGAATTAGAGCAGAGACTGCGAGCCAGGCCCTCTCGTCAACTTCAGTGCCTAACCTCACAAATGCGCTTCAGGAAGAATGGTCAAACATTCCCATAGACACACTCCTAAACCTTGTGGACGGCCTTCCCAGAAGAGTTGAAGCCTTATAGCTGCAAAGGGTGGCTCAGCTCAATATTGAACCCTACGGACTAAGTATGTATATATATATGTATATATATATATATATATATATATATATATATATATACACGTGTATATATATATATATATATATATATATATATATTTGAGCAGGCTTCAAAAAATATGACAGCTTTCCTCTGAAGATTTCTGCATAAATATGTAACGTGACATTGTCACTATATCTGTCTAAAAAAGGGTTAGATCACATTCACAGTTCTGCAGTGTGTTGCATTCACATTAACATATATTAACATACTAGTGCATCACAAAAGTCTTATTAAACACACATGCTTTTTTTCAGCACACCACAATGCTCAGATGGTTCACGTTTGTGCATTGAGGTGCCCTAAAATGCAAGTGCATGTGCAACTGAGAGCCATTTAACATTCAAGTCACCACCACATACCACAGATTGCTGGTAGTTGTAGCCCTTTGCCATGTTCTGCCAAATTCCTGGCTATAGGCTTGCTCATGACATCCCCTGGCAGTTTTAATTTTTAAGAATAAAGGAATATCCACACAAGAAATATGTTTTCTGCTCTTTACTGCAGCTTTTTAAAATGGCCATGACTTCTAACATTACACTGACATACTGACAGAACTCTTTGGCGCAGAATGTCATACACATTCTGTAGCACAAACATTCTGTAGCTGTCTTTTGGGTGCAAAGTGACAGCATCTCCTCTCTCCATGGGAGCACCACCATGTAGGGAACACTAATCCCCAGCATTCAGCTTCGATCACTGAGTAAAATCAAGGTGTCTTCATTAGTATACCAGTCTCCTCCAGTGTCCCGTATGCTCCAAGATGTGACACTCATTCCCAGGTGTACTAGTACTCACATCAGAGGACTCTGGCCTAAAAGACCTTTTGCATCCCACTCACAGTCCACAGCAGACCGTAAAAAATTCAGGGTGACTACAGCTGGTCCATTTGGGAGTTGAACTACCTCACCCGGAATTGTTGCCCTGTTCAGGCCCCTTTGCATTAGCTGACTACATCTGACTAGCTCTGATGTATGTATTTCATATGTCCCAACTCACAAAGCCCCTCTCATCCTGGAATTTACATGGATACTAACTCCATCCATTACATCACTGTCCTCTCAAAGTTACCGAACACCCAATTACATGATTCCTTTAACTATTTTATATTGGGAACAGAGCCACCTAATGGAAGATAAGCTAACTGCACCTGCCTGCAATCTAATGCATATGATCAGTTTAAAAAGCAAATACTTCCAATCTCCTTGAGCGCTTAGTCTACAATCGCCTAAGTGCCCACCTCACTGACAACAATCTCCTCGATCCACTACAGTCTGGCTTCCATCCCCTACACTCCACCAAAACCGCCCTACTCAAAATCACTAATGACCTGCTAACTGCCAAAGCTAATGCCCACTACTCAGTCCTCTTACTCCTCGACCTTTCCGCTGCCTTCGACACAGTTGACCATCCCCTCCTCCTTAATAAACTACACTCCCTTGGCATCAGAGACCCCGCTCTCTCCTGGCTCTCCTCCTATCTATCCCAACGCTCCTTCAGCGTTACCTATAACGCTACCACCTCCCCCTCTCTCCCCCTCTCTGTTGGGGAATCAAGGTCCTACCTTTCCTCAGGGCTTGTGCTGCTCCATGTGCTGGCATCCATCTTAGGTCTGCAAAGCATTGTGGGATCCTTTATGCTTTCAGCCCTCTGCGGCTCCTCCTAGGAGGTGGCGGCTTATCACATTTAAATCTGCTGTTTGCAGCTGTCCATTGCATTTGTGTCCTGTCTGTTGCACAGCAGCAAGCTCCTGTTCAGTTAACTCTTTGCTCTCCTGGATACCGACTCGGCTTTGGCTAAGACTCCTCCTGGCTTCTGACCCCGGCTCTGGCGACCATTCTTCCTGGCTTCTGACCCCGGCTCTGGCGACCATTTTTCCTGGCTTCTGACCCCGGCTTTGGCTACGATTCCCGCTGGTTCTCAACTTGATTATCCTGGAAGACGACCTCGGCAGGAGAATTTCTGTCCTACCAAGTCATCTGCTGTTGCTGTGGGACTTGCATAGACTCTTGCCTTGTTTCTGTGTAAATAAACCTACCTTTAATTGCACCTCCTTGTCTGTCTGGCTCCTCGATCCCTGACATGGGGTCCCCCAAGGCTCTGTCCTCGGGCCCTTCTCTTCTCCATCTACACCTCCTCCCTCGGCAAACTGATATACTCCCACGGCTTCAACTATCACCTCTACGCCGATGACACACAAATTTACCTCTCCACCCCTCGCCTCACCCCTTCAGTCTCCACCCATATCACCCACCTACTGAACGACATATCAGACTGGATGTCGCTCCATTTCTCAAATTGAATCTTTCCAAAACCGAGCTCCTGATTTTCCCCCCAGCCTGCGTCCCCCCCACCCCACCCCCCATCACCCCACCCTCTCCATCACGACCAACAACGCCACCATCAGTCCCACCCCGCAAGCCAAAGTCCTAGGTGTCATTCTAGACTCAAACCTGTCCTTCCAACCCCATGTCCAATCATTAGCAAACTCATGCAGGCTCCACCTCCGCAACATCTCCAAAATATGTACGTTCCTAACCCCAGACACTACTAAACAACTCGTTCACTCCCTTATTATCTCACGTCTGGACTACTGCAACTCCCTTCTCACCACGCCTACCTCATCACAGGCTATCCCCACTTCCGTCTATCCTGAACTCAGCGCCAGACTCATCCACCTTACCAACCGCTCCGCTTCTGCCACCCCCCTCTGTCATTCCCTCCACTGGCTCCCGATTGGCCAACGCATTAAATTCAAACTACTAACACAGACATACAAAGCCATTCATAACGCTGCCCCAAACTACCTCACCGACCTGATACCCAAATGCCACCCTACCCGTAATCTTCGCTCCTCACAAGACCTCCTACTTTCTAGCTCCCTGGTCTCCACCTCCCAAGCCCGACTGCAGGACTTCTCCAGGACTTCCCCCATCCTCTGGAACTCACTACCCCAATCCATCAGACTGTCACCTACCCTCCTCACCTTTAGGCGCACCCTGAAAACCCATCTCTTCAGGGAAGCCTACCCCCTGCCCTCACCTAACAGCCGATCTCCTCCACTCCTCACTCCATTCCATCCCCCACAACCACTTCCTCCTGTACCACTATCCCCTCCCTCCTAGATTGTAAGCTCAAAAGAGCAGGGCCCTTGACCCCCACGTGTTTTTTGTTTTGTTACTGTGTTGTCTCATGTTCTGTCCCCCCCACTATAATGTAGAGCGCTGAGCAAACCTTTTAGCGCTATATAAATACTGTATAATAATAATAATGTAAACTTATGAACTCCAGTGTGGGTGATAACCATGGCTTTCTCCATAGATATCATAGAGAAGTGAGTGTAGTTCTCCTAGGATAGAATTACTGTATATGTTATTTGCAGATTACTAGATGGAAGAAAAGAAATTAAGCCAGAAAAAGAGAAAACTAATGCATCAAACTTTCTAAGGACTTGTATGTTGAATTATTTTATAATATTTTTTTTTTGGATTTGGATACACTTTAATTCCTGTATAGTTTTAGTAGCAGTTCAGGTTTTCTGCTTTATAACTACTGAATTTACAGTCGCTGCCAAAATCACCAAATACTGAAAATGTGGCCTAATGTCTAGTATACATGATGAGAAAATCAAACAAAAATTACTGCTATTGAAGCAATTGTCCGATAATCTGAGATTGTTAGTACACAGTTTTCAAGAGCTGATAATGACAGTTTATGTAAAATTATCTGGAGGGACAAGCACAAAACGTTTTCTTGTACTATACCAGAGCAAACGATTTTTGAAAACAGTATTTGTCAGTAAAAAATCAAGTGACCCAGGCCATGCATGCTCAGAAACAAAAGAATACAT